CTGGTCAGGGAGAGCTGAGAGCGCTGGTGGAGAGGCTTCGCTTTCACGCGGGTGGCACCGCAGCGTGTCGTAACCGCGCGTGAGTTCCGCGGTAGCCTTACTGTTCTGACAAAGACTGAAATTCTCACCTTAAAAGATATATTGCCCCGTTTAAGACAGGCTTGTTCCACTGGAGGTAGGCGTTTTCGTGGTATAATTTGAAGCACTTAATGACGGTAAAATCTGTCTTGAGTGTTTCAGTTTTCCAGTTTTGAAACCCTGTTCTGATGCCTTCGTATGTTCAGCATAATGGATGTTTATATCAAAGCGGCATCTGAGAGTTCAAAATCATTAAATCTGATACTGGTAGAGAATCTACTCAAAAGTGATCTTTCAACTGGAAAGCACCAGAGGACGTGCGATGTTGATGTACAGTAGGGGATCAGAGATGAAATTCGCAACAAAAAAAGCCTGTTTAAGATGAGTCTGCTAGGTTTCTTAGGTTTGGGTACTTAGGATTATTAATATAGTTCTTTTTCAGAGAGCTTTGGTTTAAAATTGTAGCCCTGTGATTTCGCAGACATTTTGTATATTTATATTTATACACACATATCTATTCCAGATTGTTAAATGAAATTAGTTGAAATTGATTGCTAGTTGGAACTTGATTTTAAAGCTGAAAGTACGTTATATTCACAAGCTTTCAGAAACTTTATAATGAAGCACTGAACTGAGATGAGTTCCAGAGCTAAAGCAAGGAATCCATCGTGGCTGTCAGTAAATGAAATAGCGTTACAATGTTTCTGTGGAACATTTTTTGTTTATTGATGATGTTTTTGTTTGGTTCTGCAAGATTTCTGATCTTTGGAGTTTTTAAGTTTTGGAGTTTTAAAGCCACATCAACAGGTTGCAAGGGAGACTTTGGGATTTTGTGTATTTGAAAAGAAGAGGTAGAAAAACTAAACTTAATATTGGGTATATACTTAAGGTCCATCTTAAAACTTTATTCAGAGTGAAAAAAAAAGAAAGATAAATGATTATTCCTGCTATACTAGTAAAACTTTAAAGTATTAATACTGAAACTTTGATCTTGCATTCTTCTTATTTGTAAGGTTGGAATTCATACCAAGGCATGGTTTATCGCTGGGATATTTCTACTAATGACTATACCGATATCTCTCTGGGGAATACTACAACACTTAGTTCATTATACTCAACCTGAATTACAGAAACCAATAATAAGGTAACGATTCATGTTTTACCTGTGTTACAGATGTTGAATTTAATTCAGACTAAAAATACTTCTAGTAATATTAAATGTTCTTTTGTTATTGTAACAGGATTCTATGGATGGTGCCGATTTACAGTTTAGACAGTGTAAGTGTTCTCTTACTGTTAACAGCTCAATAAAATTTGGTTTGCTGTGGGAGTGAGGGAAAACAGTGTCAGAGTTAGCAGAAACTATGCTGCATGGAGAGTCGTAGTCCTAGAAACTTCTGGGCATTGCTGTTTATGGAGTATGTCAGAAGCATAGTTGTAGCGATATTACATTCTTCTTGTGGAGCTTGTGGGATCGCTTTTGCTAACCCTTCTTAACCCTGTCCTTGAGTATCCTTTATGACAGATGTGGAAAGAGGTATGACAAGAGCCTGCTTTTGGTCCTTCCATCTTCAGTAACAGCTGAACTGGAAAACAGACTGATCTAAGTACTGTCTCAAGATTCAGTGCCTTGCCTTTCTTTCCCGAGTTATGCTCAGTGCTAAAATTCTTCCTGTTTGCTTCAGGGGGCAAAGGGTAAGATCCCACAACAAATCCACTTCTGAATACTTTTATGTGATAGATTCTATTGGTCGGTGTACCAGATACAGTTCATGTAAATACATCACCTGTGGGGATTATTTTAGCCAGAGCTAAGCAGCATACTAAATCTGTGGACTGTACAAGATGTGTGTTTACATGTCGTCGTCACCTCTTGACATTGCAAATACTTCTATTTCCCCCATAAAAGACAGCTTTCCAGGAACTTTTCTTTTGATTTTGCTCCCATCTCTTGAGTGTTTATGAAGTGTCACCCTTATGTTTTTGTTTTGTTTTGTTTTGAAAGACTGGGATTGAGTATCTGAGAGTGAAGGAGCATGGGGAAGAAAACAACATTTTCTGTTTCCTATGGGGAATATCAGCTACCTCAGGCTGACATTTCAATTTCAAGTACAGAGTTTTCCTTTGGAAGAAAATTACCTGCTAATTAAATGAGTTCTAGCCAGGCACTCGGGGACATTTCTGACATACTGAAATCTTTCCCAGACTCCTGGATCTTATGGCCTTTGCTGCATATATGGTATCCTCCTAGAGTGCTTAATCTGAGCTGAACATGAAGTTCTCTTCTCAGTTTCAAATACTGTATACTCAGTTTACTAGATGCAGTATTACATCTTCCACAAAAGTGTTGCAGCATCTGTCATCTCTAGTATATCTTAACTGTGATAAGGATATGAAGCATCTTCCTGTAGCTCTCTGACCCTCTTATTAGAAGGCACAACATTCTACAACCAAGGGAAGCAAAGTATACTCAAAAGACCTGCCTCTAACATGCTCCTGGCCTTCGCCACCCCTCAAAAAACCCCGACAACCCACAAACAAAAAAAAAAACCAGTGGGACAGGTTGCACTGACCAGTGCAACAGCAGTGTGATACTCAAAAATTGAAAGCTCTGACAGTTGATCCATAACCACAGTTTTGCAAAAAAATAAAATCACTTTTCTGTCTGAAATTCTGGTTTAGAGGGATGACTACCACTTTAAGGTTAATCTGCGGATTGCTTCTATATTTTGCAAATGTGCCAGAACAAACATTTACACATTAGATAACAAAATAAATCAGCTTTATACTGATGGATTGAAAACTTAGTTCTTAAATCTGTATTGACAACGAATATGGGAATTTCAGGAAACAGTTGTATCTTGTCTCCTCCTAACAGGAGCAGGTTATGTGTAGGGAGCCATCTCCTTAATTACTTTTAAATGAAAGACTGAATTGTGTGGTCAAAGATACAGAGCATCTCTTGCACAGTGCTTTAAGCATGCTTCCGCTTCAAGCCGCAGAGATGGAATCTGAAGCTCTACTTGTATTTTTACAGAACGTTATTTTTTTTAGCTGTAGCATCACACTCTTATTAGCCAAATGCTTCAAGCCCTGTTTAATTAGTGCCTGCTGTCTAATGAAGCATTGCTTGCTGAACTAGCCAGCCAGTGTTGTCATTGAAATCACTTTTGTCTTTCTTGCATGTAACCTTTTGTGTACCTCTCTTCTTACAGTGGATAGCTTTGAAATACCCCAACATTGCAATATATGTGGATACATGTCGAGAATGCTATGAAGCTTATGTCATCTATAATTTTATGGTTTTTCTTTCAAATTATCTAACCAACCGGTATCCAAACCTCGTATTAATAATAGAAGCGAAAGATCAGCAGAGACATCTGCCGCCTCTATGTTGTTGTCCATCGTGGGCTATGGGAGAGTGAGTATATGATGACATTTAAAATTTTAAGCTGTGTAATCAGATAGAAACATTTTGTTTTCGTATTTAGTAGTATAACTGTTGTTGCTTGGCAGAGTCAGTTTATGGTTTGCACACATTTTATCAGCTATGAACTTCTACTGAAAGCATCTGTCAATATGTTTTCATCTAGCTATGAAACATCCTATAAATCGCACTTAGTTACTACCATGCATTGACTCAGGTGGTGCTGAAGGAAATGTCCTTAATTCTGAAAAACGTTGGAAAAAGTTCTCCTTGAATTTGCTTCCTTTGCTATCATATACTATTTGCCAAAAACTTCAGGTAGAATTCTTTGTGGACCAGATAGCCTGTTGCTTTTACTTCCACTGTTTGTTTCTGCATGCTTAATCTGATAAGCATCTTTCTTAAGAGATTTTGATAAAGCTGTTTAAAATGTTAAGGACAAACGAATGTTAGTAAACATCTTCAAACACAGTGAAAATTGCATTCTCTTTGCTTAGCCCAGCGAGAAGCTTTCTATGGCTAAAAGAAGTGAATCATTGAGTATTTCCCATTATGTATCTATAAAAGTCTAGGTCTTTTGTATATTGCGTATATACACACTATATACTGTAGCATCTGAAGTCCTGGAAGCAGAAGTTGAGATTACCATGAAATAAAAATTTAGTTTAGTGAAACTACTGAGCACAGAAAACTTCCGTAAGTGAATTGTCTTTAAATACTTGTACAATTAATTTTGTGTTTCTCTTGCAGAGTATTATTATTTAGATGTAAACTGGGTGTTTTGCAGTACACTGTTGTCAGACCATTTACTACCATTATTGCTTTGTAAGTACGCTCATAAATAATGTTGATCTTCAGGATGTAATTTTGAGTTACACTGGAAAGAATTTTCATGCCCTTTGTATTGAATCAAGGCAGTTTGAAAGCAGACTCGTTGTGTTACACGCTAAATGGGTCCCAGCAATTTGAATCGACCTATGATTTCTTTATGACTTCTCACTAGCAAATAACTATTTGCAGAATTGAAATAATAAATACTTAATGCTTGCTGCTGAAAGCAGTGGGAGAAAACGTGAAGTACTGTTTATGTGGGAAAGACTTTTTTATGATCTCGTAATTCTTAGTCTTTTTTTTTCTCCTTCTCTCTTTCTCATTGGCTTCAACAATTGGGTATTTTTAAAGTCAGGTTTCATGTAACTTTTTAAATTTTATTAAACTTTGCATGTGACAAGCTTGACTGGGTGCCTTCATACATATCATATAACTTGTTGTTGTAAAGTAATAGCAGGCAGTTATGCATGTTGATGCTGTAAGCTTAAGTTCGTGAACTTTGTATTGATGGTCATTACTGTTAATTCTGTGGGACTGTGGGAAAAAGTTGCTACTCACAAAGAATACCCATATAAATATTTGCACTAGCTGTATGTGTTCTAACAGTTAAAAGCAAAACAGCTGAAAAAAAAAAAAAGGGTGTTTAATTGTTAAATTCATTTAACAATGGGATGTGTTAACCCTGCATTCAAACACTGTTTTTGCTACGGAAAATACAATATGAACTTTATATGCCATGTGCTGTTGGAAACTGATTCTTGTGCACGCCCCCCCAAATGCCCATATTTGAGTACCAAAAGAGATTTTGGATTCTAACCATTGATCAATGTCATGAAGATTTAGCACTTCAAGAAAGCAATCTTTTATTACATAGTGATTAACTCTAAAAATTCTTTCAGAATTTGTGAACTAGTGGGAGTGTACGATGAAGGAAACTTCAGCTTCAACAATGCTTGGACTTACTTGGTTATACTTAACAACATGTCACAGCTAGTGAGTATTGAGAGTACATCTTTCTGCGCTTTGAAGTCATCCTGTTAATACTATGTGAATCGTTTTATATGAACTGTTGACGGTAATTGTGTCTGGTAATTCTTATGGGTAGAATATTTCCCACCGTAAGTCAAAGTTACTATCTGTTAAATACTATATATGCAAAATATTAGGAAAACAGATAATCTAAAACTTACTATTTTTACTATGAAGCTCCATAAAGCAACAGTGTCGCACCTCGCTACCCCAGATTGTTGGATGGGTGAAGTGGTATGGACCAGGCATGTTAGAGCAGCAGACTCACGCCTCTGCAGAAGAGATGCCTTCGCTCACCCTGGTAGCTTCCTCCCAGCACACATACAAAGAATCAGCAGTGGCTATGTTCAAAATACTGTGTTACAAAGCTGATGGTAACAATGTTGACAGGAAAAAATGGAAATGGTGCATGCAGCACTGAGATTCTGGCCTGTCTAACACCTTGTCTTGTTGGTTCAGCTGTCAGATGATGTCAGGTTAAGGGGAAGATGTCAGCCCGTGGACTTGAAAATTTCATTTTGGAGGTCGGGGATTGCAGTTAGTTCCTTGCTGCAAATTCAGGAGAATAATTTTCTGCTTCACCCAGGGCACATTACACATGAGCTATTGCAAGAGGAGAGAGTCCTGGCTCCTTGCTGCTTGGCCTGCTAGCCTCCAAGATTCTTTCATCTCTTGTCATGCTGTTCTGACTCCTGCTGCTGTTGCCATCCCATCCAAAAAGGATGTCCTCCTCCTACTGCCACCACTGTGTTTGGGTGACTGTTATGGGAGGAGCAATAACTGCTTTCTGCTGTAACAATAATCCCAGCAGCAGCACATACTTCTGCATGTCCTGGTTGACATGATTGCCTGAAGAAACTTAGTAGTAAGAGGCTAGGAGAATATGCGTGAAAAGGGGAGATCAATTCCTTAGGTTTGGCTATGCATTAGTTCAGTTGCTTGCAGTTGTCATTAATAGGAAACTTGTTCAGATTTGCAGTGAAGATTGCATTTGTTGCTTCGTCTCTCATAAAGAGGCAACATTTGAGGTGTTCTTACCAGCAGCCTGAGAGAACAGGTGCTTTTTATGCCATTTTCCCTAGAGATGTGCTTGGTGTTGGAAAGATTTTATGGCACCTTCCTGTGCTTTGCTTTAGCATGTAGACAGATGACCTCAGTCTGCCAGTACCACGCTTTTCAGAAATACAGTCTCAGGCGGAAAAAAAAAGTCTGCTGTAAAACAGTAAGGCAAAGACTCCCTAAATCCAGAGCCTCTTTTCTAAAATAAGTAGCTTTTTAAGTTTGTATCATACTGTGATACATTTTTTAACTGAAGAGATGCTGTAAAACAAGTCCCTCACAAAATAACAAAGATTTGAAAGGTTTTCTTCATTTTTTTTTTTTTCCTTGTTAGTTTTCTTTGTATTGTCTGGTGCTGTTTTATAAAGTATTACGTGAAGAACTGAACCCTATCCAACCTGTTGGGAAGTTCCTTTGTGTGAAGATGGTAGTTTTTGTTTCTTTCTGGTAAGTCAATTATTTACTCATGACTTCTTGCTCTCAGGGTGGATCATAAAAGATCTAAGAAGGCTGGATTTGTTACTGAGGTTAGAGACCTCAAAAAATCTACCCATAATCTTAGTGAAGTGCTGTGCGGGAAAAGGGTACTAATATGTTGGACAGAGCAGTCTTGTTCACGGAAGTTATTTTTTAGACTTGCTATTTAGTAAGGAAATTCTCAAGAACATGATTTACTTTAGAATTTTCCCTTGCAGTTATTTCAAAACAAAAAATGATTATTTTTTTTTACTTTTTAAAGTGAAAAAAATTACTTTAATTTTTTTCAGAATAAGTTTCTGTAAGTTAACTGTAAATTACTATTTTAAGCATTGCACACAGCTGCTAACGAGTGAGTGCCTTTGACTCTCTAAACATTCCTCTGTGGGCTACAGTAATACCCTTGAAGAGAAGTAACTTGTTCTAATAACTAACTGGAACAACACACTCTTCTTTGGTTGTGTTCTGTGGTGGTCTTTAGGATCATGGATGAATGACCTCTCTTTTTAAGTCTGTTTTGTTTTGTTTTCCTCCTCTTAAAATCTAAATATATAAATAGTAAGTTTTTTGTAAGATTCTTCCTATGTATGTGTACATACGAAGAGGTCTCATTTAACAGATTTGCTTGTAGGTTTTTTGGCACTTTATTGTTATTATTATGAATAATCTTTATAGGCAAGCTGTGCTTATTGCATTGTTGGTGAAAGTTGGCGTTATTTCTGAGAAACACACCTGGGAATGGCAAAGCGTGGAAGCTGTGGCTACAGGCCTACAGGTAGGAGCAGTTATTTCTTAGGAGGAATGGCTGTATGTAAGATGACATAGCTGATCTCAAGCAAATACTGTCTTACTCATTTTAATTCACACAAGCTAGATTAGTACTGAATTTATTATAAGTTGGGCTAAGTTTCAGCAAGTCATCCCAAATGAGTTTTACGGTCAACACTTTTATATCCATGTGTTGAGCAGAAGGAATGTGCCCCAGTTAAATACTTCTGTTGGATACTGTTGCATTTCTTTTTTGCAAGAATTAGTTGTAGAGTTGCTGCTTGTTGAATATCCACTTCCAGCAAGTCAGTCCGTCAGGCAAGAACTGATTCCAGTACGTATGTAGTACATGTGGCTCGCTGAAGCCTGCCAAGAATATCCTGCCTCTGGTGGAGAAGTAGCTGATGCCAGTATCCCAAGGCAATTGCAGTCTTCCAGTTGTAGAAGGAACCCAGGAACTATTCTTCTCCAGTTACAAATGACTAAGTCAGTATCTCTCTCATTGCAGGATTTTATCATTTGTGTTGAGATGTTCCTGGCTGCTATTGCACATCACTACAGTTTTTCCTATAAACCTTATGTTCAAGAAGCTGAAGAAGGGTCGTGCTTCGACTCTTTTCTTGCAATGTGGGATATTTCTGATATAAGGGCAGATATATCAGAACAGGTTCGAAATGTTGGTAAGTAAGGCAGATTTGTATGATCTGTTAACAGCATATGTATTTCCAGCTTCATCTGACACTTTTATCCATCTCTATAGTACCCTGAGAACATTCCAGACCAAATTAGTGGCAGCTGCATCCCTAGAGGATTTCATGGCTTATCTAGCACTTCGCTCTTTCCAGTACTCCTGAGTGATTTAGAGTCTAGTTTTTAATTTTTTTCCTAACTAGATGGTTCTCAGGGTCAGTTTCAGGTGTGTTGGGTAGAAGAGAGGGATGTCCTTTTTGGTTTTGTTTTTTTTAAATGGAAATACATAATTTTATTTATTAAATCTAACAATACCAATGTAAAACTGTTATAACAAAGACTCATTTTCTAATTTAACGTGCCTGTTTTAGAGTTTGTGTTCGAAGACCATGGTATATTGCTGGAAGTATTAAAATGTATTTTCATTTGGCATAATTCTAGGAAGGACAGTTTTGGGCCAGCCAAGGAAAATGTTTTTTGATGAGGATCATGAACAAAATGAGCATACAAGTTTACTGTCTTCATCTACTCAAGACCCAATTTCTGATGCTTCTTCAATGCCATCTTCACCCATGGGTCATTATCAGGGGTTTGGACGCACCGTGACACCTCTCACACCACCACCAACAGCCCCTGCAGTTGATGGTATTTATAACAGTTCTGCTGCTCGAGGCGCTGAGGAGTCACCCGAACTAGAGCACAATTTATCAGAGAAAGCCTTGGATAAAAGTTAGACTTGCCTTGTCTTTGAATGTGTCAAGGAGTCTGTTACATGCTTGCCACACATGTTCTGTTAACATGTACTATTAGTGATGAAAGTTAAAAAGCTTGAAAGAGCTGCTGCGCAGACAGGAAGAGGATGTGGCTGTAACAGAAATCTGAATTCTGAAGCTCTAATGGATGTGAGTATCTGTCAGTACCCCATGAATATAAAACACGCACACTATAAAAGTTTCTGCATAAATTTAAGAATCAACTCCTTCAACTGCTGAACACTTATACATCATGTCGAAATTACACTGACTTTTATTAATAGAAAAGAAATATTTGAGAAAATGCTTTTCTAAAGATGAAGTGTAAGCACTACTGGTAATGGGAAAACTTAATTTCAAGAATGTAATTTAAAGAGGGCAGTAGCAAAAAGTGTTTGCATTAGCTTTGGTTGTCCTCTTAATGGTAACTTCCATACCCCAGTGCTGAATGGAGTGTGGATGGAATGGTAACTTCTGTACAGATGCCATCTTCTTCCCTTTCCTGCATAGTCACATAAAACCCCATCATGAAGATAATTATTACAGAGCATTAGTAAAGATTCCATATAAATAAAGCATTCCCTACAAGCCTGACTATAAATTCCATGCCCAGAAGATATGGTTGGTGTATGAGTTATCCTTGTAGCTCATGATTTGTAAGACTTTTCCATTCAGAAGAGACAGCCAGGATGATTGATAGGTTTTGGATTAATACCTTACACTTCACTACTCTTTTTCCTATCCTTCTGAAATAAGAGTAATGGTTTCTACCTTAAGTTATGGGGGGAGGGAGGAGCAGGGAATAAAGGATGTCAAAAAGGAAATAGAAAACAAAACTGATTTCTTTATTTTGGGCTGCAATAAATTCTTCAATACTTAAGGGTTTTTTAAGCTGTTAAAGCTGGATGTCTTGAAAATGTGTCTGTAGTAATTTGTATTCACAAATTTGTGTGTGTGATTGTTGTATTATGCTTCTAGTATAGCCTAGATTCAAATATAATAGTTGATTTCCCCCCCACCCCCCTCCCCACCCCAGAAAAGACCTTTGCTAAGGTAAAACTAAGTAGCTAGTCTAATACTGGAGTTACTAGCATTAGATTTCAGACCAAGATGTACACTTGTATCAAAATGTTACTTTGCAAAAACTGGTAAAATCAGAGGGGTATTGTTTTTATCCCATTACAGATTTTTACTAGTATTGCATGTTTGCAATCTGACAAAAAAAAGAGCACCTGACCTTTTAAGTGACATCAGAAGTTTCTTTGTCAGCATTGTTAGCATTTACAGGATAAATGTTTAACTTTTGGCTGTCACAGTAAATTCATCTTAAGTGCTTTTTTTGCAGTACTAGTGTGATGTAAATACTGCGCCTTACTCACTAGGCTGCATCATTTTATAGTTGACTATTTACTTGCTGTATCTGAAGTAGTGGGAAAGTGCAAATCATAATTTTCAATTTGTCAAGTCATTGCCTTTGTAAATAAGCGATTAAAGATTTTATTTAAACTGTTCACCTTCTTCTACTTTGATTTATGGCTGCAGTGATTTCACAATGTGAATGACACCTGAATACAACTGTCCTCTTCATGGAAGAAGGGGATCTTAAGTGTAACTGACACAAGAGTTTGTACTTTCAGTATTTTAAGGCTTGTACTGAAAAGGTTGTACTTCGAGCTTATGAAGAATCAGGATCTACTTACTTATGCTTGATTCCAGGTATCTTTTTATCTGTGCAATACACATGTCCTAAAAGGAAACAACCTGTAAAAGCTCATAAGACAAGACCTGGGTACTTCAGTGCCTACTGTAGCCACTAATAGAAGTAATTCGATTTCCTGCATGTATACAAGTAAAAAGGGGTATTGGTACAACTAACATCTGAAGGATCAGAGCTGCTGGAAGCTAAGTAGCTACCATGCTCTAGCTTTTCAAAAACCTCACACTGAAGAGTGTTTTTTTAATATCTCAAGTTATGTCTGTTTGGTGTAAAACTTACTTAGGCAAGGTAGAGAGAGGGGACTTTGAGAGGAAAACAGCTAGTTAAGTGTCTTGATTGTTTCTTTCACAGCATTTCTGGAAAGCCACTAAGTTATTTTATCATTACTCAGTTATTTCATTTCATGTGCACAGTATTCCTGCATTTTTTTTTTCCTGGGAGAAAAGTTATTTTTTCATTGCAGTACCTCATAGGATCATATCTTTCCATTAAACATTGCTACTGAATTTCCAAAATAAAGAGAAATCTTTCAATGACACCTACTCTATCTTTTGAAAACTATTACAACAGTATTCCACAGTGTGACCTATCAAGTTTATATTTAAAAGTTCATTTTCAAATAGTCCTCCATCTTTACATTAACCATATTGATTCCTCTTGCTTTACTTAACACACTGCTTGAAGACTCAGTAATGGTCATTTTTAGCCCTTTGCTTAGTCTCACTGAGAACGGGTAGAGTATGTTCTTAATTTTTCTTTAACTCATTTTAACTCATTTTGCTGTCTTACTAATTGCTAAAAGGTTAATGCCTAACCACTCTTATTTCATGTTTTAGCTTTTATCAGAGGTCTTCTAGCATGAGAAGCCTAAACACTTCTCTAAAACTGCACTTTGAAAATATCCTGTACCTACTAGGTTTAGTTGTGCCAGCCAGTAACTTAGATTTTATGGATCATGATTTTGTTTGGAGTTTTGGGGTTTTTTGTTTGTTTGTTTGTTTTTTTAAGCAAAGCCATTTGATATGTAGTATGAAAAGCCCCTGTGCTACTCTAGTTTGCTTACATTTTGTTATGCATTGTACCCCTTGGTTAAAGGTGGTATCACATTACTTTATCTTCAGAAAACTTGACTTGGTCATTACCTCTGTTCTGAAAAAAAGAAAAAAAAAAAGGAGACCTTTCCTCCATCCTTCTAGAAGGAGCTTTATTAGAGTAATCCATCAGGTGCAGGTTCAGCTGCAGGCTGGGACAACTTGAGTTATTCAACAGCACTCCTTTACAACTTTTTATAATTGTCTACGTGCAACGCTAACTTGTGATACTGCAGCTGGAATGGTGTTACAGCCCCTACTACAAGGCTAAAACCTTGCTACACTTGAGTAGGATGCTTTGGCAATTGAGAAGTGGAACTACAGTTTGAGGAAACAAGGACTCTGTCCTGAACAGTCACAGCTGCTTACTTCTGGTACAGGCATCTGGATGCTTTTTTCCTTACAATATGGTAGCAGAAGTGTGTCCCACTGTTGTAGTTCCTGCAAGAGCTAGCAATCAGGTTTTTGCTGTGGAGAAGAAAATACCTCCCCTAACTGCTTGGTAAGATACCCTTACAATGCAAGTTTAGGTTCCACTGATGGACTAAAGTGTCTGCTATTAAAGCAATAAAATAGCCTTTTTGGTCAGTAAATAAAATTTAGACTTTAATATAAATGAACACCAGTGATGTTATGAACAGTCAACTTATGCATAGGTAATTAACCACAAATCATTTAACATAGGATATGTTTCACCGTTTAACTGTAATGCTAATATTGCTTTTATGGTGTTGAATGTCAAGCACAAGTTCATCTCCAGCCTGAACTTTGATGGGCTTATCAAGAACAACTGCAGCTTGTTTCCAGTGCGAGGACTCATCAGATGTATTCAAGCTATGGTCTTCATCTAGATGTATGTGATACCAGAAGGGAATTGCAGTGACTTGGCCAGACTTACAAATTTGTACCTAAAAATATTTAAAATATTAATCAGTTACATCCTTTTCAAAGAATTAAGAAAAAGTAGTTCAAACCATTTTAATCCATTTGAGATACCTGCAGACAAGTAAATTCTCCACTGAAATTTTCAGCCAAGGTGAGCAATGAATGAGCAGCTCTGCAGAACAGCAGTTAAGCGCACTTCTAACTTTATATACACACAACTCACCTTCACTTCTCTGCTGGAGCTGTTCAATAGAGGGTTCATGAGATCTAGCCTTAGAAGCTCTGCTGGCTTGCTCAAGGGTAGACATGGTAACGTAGAGAGATCCAAGTACACACGAACAGGCACCTAAGAGTATATATCATAACTTAAAAAGCAAAAAGTTAAAAGACTTAATCATAATGCAAAAGTTTATAGGAATTACTGCAATGTTTGTAAGAGACAGCCAAAATGGAAAATACACTCTTCTACTCCCTTTTGAAATGTGACCTTTGGGATACAAGGTGATAAAGGAGGTAGTAACAGCACAGTCACTCTTCTGTACAGTAGCACTGCATCTTTCATTACTCAGACAAAACTTCTCCCACACCAGTTCTAAAACAAATGTTACCCATTTTACTTTATCTCAGGGTCCCTCTCTGGTCACATAAACCTCTCTTGATAACTTCAGTGATATGAAAACGTTTCAGCTCTTCAGTTTTCTTTGCAGTTTACACCAAAACTAAACAGTTAGACAGCTGCAGGCTTTGGAACTGTGCCTGGAACACACCCACCAACTTCCTACCTTGAACTGATTGATAAAAGGAGCTATATTAAACCCAAGAGTTGGTTCTGTTCCTTGAACAGCACTCTCCAGTAACAGAGACTCCGATTCTACAAGCATCCCATATACCAACACATACTGGGGGAAAATCTTCCCTCCACTGTGAAGTAAACACCTGTAAAATGAGAGAGATTTCACCTCTAAAGCATACCATTCAACAGCAATGAAAGAATAACTACGTTTAAGAAAGGCACACTAGTTCTTCCTCTGATGTCAAGTGCTCATAAGCATTTGAGTTCAATCGCGTTTGACCAGACCGCTGCATCATAAAAGGTAAACTTGTCACATAATACCAGAACTATGCATTTAAGTAATCTTTTCTCAGTGTCCGTATTGGAAATGGTGATATTTCAAGACAGTGGGATTTATTCATAGAACCAGCATCCAATACTGAAGGACTGGCAGAAGTGCTTAATAAAACTGGAAGTCAAGAAGTACATACCATTGGGGGGCACTGGTTAAGGAGGCACCAGACCCACAGGAAAACAAAACCTGATGGGAATTTAAGTCACCCTTCTTCAAGTGTTTAACAAAAGTTGACAGCTATACAGGAGATGCTGTTTTTTCCCTTAAAAGACACCTGAGCCTTGCTTGGGTCTCTTGCTACAGAGTATCACACTGCTGAGAGCAGCAACAGGACAGAAACTTTCATTCAGCGTAATAATGAACAACCCCAACAGAGATTGTTTTAGTTTACCTTTTCCTATAGCGGGCCTCTTGTCATAGGAATTGGGTAGCTAAGTAGTGCGCTATTTGTTGTATTTTCATGCCAACATATCTGAGTCTGCATATGACAAAAGTCAAGAGTAATTTCCCTTTTTTTTCTTACAGCAAAAAAATATTTGAAGTCATCCAAACCTTTATTCAAAATTTAGAA